GCATCAGCTGTTCTTTAGAGAGATTATAGTGGGAGCATTCCTAGCACATTGACTCCACTGTGCAGCCAGCCTTGCAATTAAATGGCTCGGCAAAGGTGGTTTCCAAGGATAAACTGTGCCAGGGATGACAACATTTCCTCACCAAATTGGAGAGAATCTAATAAAAAATAAGGATAGAGGAAAAATGCTCTAGCTCTGCAGCTATTATTAGTGTCTCAGAGCATTGTCACTACTTTGCCTGTGCTGCCAGATGTCACTTTGCATCAGTTCTGGGCAATGCTCAGAAGAAAAATGGTGGAACTCATTTAATTCTGCAATGCATGACTGGGCTCTGCAGCAGGGCTGCACAGAGGGTTAAGTGACCTCTTAATGCTGGTGGGAGCACTGCTCAACAAGTTCAAGTGGGCTCTCCAATAATTTATGCAAACACCTTTTTGCATAGACCTGCAATTTATAGTAATTTATACCTTCTATCTAGCTGCTCTCACAAAGCATAAACCAAGTACTTACAAGTGAGTTCCAGCCCTCAGTCCTACTGTCCCCTAGAGCAGCTCCCTACTGTCAAGGCAAACTGAATATAGGGAAAAAAAAGACAACTGAGGCACGTAAATGACTGACATATAATGAACACGCACACTTTTGGGACAAACTGTGCTTGGAACCCAAGCCTGGGCCCATGAGCACCACGCATAGCATAGCAGCGAACCCAGCCAGCAGCAGCACATACGTTCTCTGGCAATATGCTTTTCCATATTCCTTTTGCTTATTGGAGGATCAACCTTTTCACATGCACTTTTTCAATGCCCATTTGTTTTTTCAGGGACAACTTCTTAGGCTAAAGCTGAGCAACTTTGTCTCAGCAAAGAATTTGGCACCCAGCAGACACTGACTACTTTTTTCTGCTTTGAGGAAACATGTTGTGAACATCCTTTGCACTCTTCCACAAGGAATCCAGATTATTAAACCCTTTTTACTGCTCAGAATGACATAATGGTTCATTTTGCTGACCATGTGGCAGTTTACTTTGAACTATATGTATAAGCAAAGTTAATCAGAGTTGACCCGAGACCTACACTCATCCTATAGTACTCTCATTACACACACTTCAAAATGCCTGCCTTTGCTCTGAACTGAAAGCCACACCCACCAAAATAAACTTAACTAGTTTTTCTTATGATCTTAGTCACCTGCCAACACACTTTGTTTGCTAGAGAAGAACACAGGATTGTTTAACAGCTACCTAAATGCAAATTAAAATGGCAGCTTCAGGGAAAAAGAAACAAAACCTCAGATGTCAGTGATTTCTCTAAGTGGACTGAAATCACACCTCCACATTCAAGCTGTAGACAGAGCCTGTATTCTTGAGGTGAATTTTGGGAAGCTAATTTAACTCCTCCTTTCAAAACATCTATTAGCTATTCAACACACTTGTGACTGGGAGTAATGTCATGCTGACTGCTGCAAGATTTCAGCCAGACTTGTAGATTGGAGCACCTGATGGATTGCCCTTCTAAGTACTTGCATAGCTCCAGAGCTCAAATTGGCTGTCTTTAAGATTCTTTCTGTATTGCTGTGTTGGAATGCTTGGCTTTAATGAAAACCTTTGTTTTGACCACAGCATCCACATCTCAGAATATACAGAGCTCTTCATTGAGGAAAAAGTGTTTTTTTTTCTTTTTTCTGAAGATAACAAACGGACAGCTGTGTATACACGCATGCTGTGCTGTAACATTAGGAAAATCAGAGATAGATTGAAGTCCTCTTTGTATACAGACACACCTGATACACTAGGAGAAGCTAATACACTGGTATGAATTCTCTGTGGTCATCCTAGAGGAGGAAGACAGCTGCGACAGTTGCTTGATGAGACAGATCCCACAGCTCCCATTCCATCAAGGGCCATGTCCTCTCCATCTGCTGGGCTCTGCTCCATTACAAGCTTATTACTGGCCTTGTCCTGCTATTTTGAGAGTCAAAAGCTCCACTAAACATTGTTTTTTCTGCTAGATGAAGTCAGGAACAACCCCAGAACTAGAGGAGGAGGAAAGCAAAACAAAGTATCAGCTCCAAAGACTTGTGCCTGAGAAGTGTCACTGGGGAACAATTAGGCTAGAAAGCACAAAAAAGATTTAATAATCATGCAAAGATATAACTGTGGAAGCATTTGAATTCCAATTTTAGGACTAAACTCTTTGAGTCAAGCTCCTTTGTTTTCAAGGTCTGTATTTGTATTATATTTCTTAGCAGCAATGCTACTGGCAATGCTTTCCTCCTTCCCCCAAGAAAAAGTAGTAATGCCTTCTTTAATTTGTTTTCTCTTAGCTGCTACCTTTGAGCTTTTCAGAGCAACACAGAAGTCTACACAAAGCTTCACTGACTTCAAATTCTCTTCCTTTGGTTTAATCACAGCTAAAAAAGCTTGAGAAACAAGTACCTAAAACCTACCTCAAACCCAAGCGTCAAATGAAAAGGGTGAAGTACATCAAGTGCATCAGAAGTCTGCCTGGCAGAAAACAAATAGCTAGATTCATAGAGGTGGTTCCTGCTTATAGAACAACTGCTCAGCCCCAGCTATTTCATTAGCAGCTCTCTAAAAGGTCCTAGGGACTTTCTTTTTGAGGTGTAGGCAATTCAGAGAGCTGAAAGATACTGTAATTTGGCCTATGAAAAATGAGTAGGTGTTCACACTTCATTTCCCAATAGAAAAATTCACGCTCATCACAGAAACCATCATCATGCACAGAACTAATAGCTGCCCTGCTTGGCAGGCACACCCATGCACATTAAGGAAACCTTGCAGTGCTCCAGCTGTTACCACCTATGAACAAGAGACTTTGGTTAGCAACACTGTGAGCAAGGCACATTTTTTTTTTCCACATCTACAATGACATGAAAAAAAATATAATGATATTATATGTAAGCAAATACAACCAACCAAAACTAGACTTTTGGAACCACAAGATAAACAGAAAACTATGAAGTATTCCCAAAGAAACTCCTTGCTCCCAAATGAACTGGAATAAAATCACAATGGAAGAGTCATAAACACAAAATGCTACGGATATGGGGAGTGGATGCAAAGCTAACAAAATGTTGAATCAAGGGAATAAAACATCCTGCCACTTACCTGAATGAGTAACATCAGCTGCAGTCAATGGGCAATGGCTGGACAGGACTTGGTATTTACTCATTCCTTATATAAGCAAAGGAAAGTGCAAGGCCTGGGAACGACAGCACACCAGCTCTTGGAATTCCAACAGTCAGTTATATGCCTATGCAGGGACCCTGCCCTAATCCCATGCAAAGTCTTAGAAAGCCCCAAGGCCCCTCTAGAAGACCATTTAGCAACTGCCTTCTGCTTGGATATTGCCAAAATAAACTGAACTCAAAGTTAGATGTGGCTGAGTCCAATTTCATCTTGATTAGTATTTACATAACACACAGAGAAACACAAGAAGAACACATAAATAATGTACTGTTTGTTGCAGGTGTCTCAGGAGGAGAGTTCTCAGCTATGATATTGATACTCACATACACTCCAGCTCACTGTGCAGAAACCCAAAATCTTCTTCTCTACGTACAGAAGTAACTTCCAGAAGCTGGGCTGCACAGGTTGGGTTGCAGACTGCTGCTTTGTCATACCAGGTCTAGGAGCCAGAGCTGCACTCTGGATAACAGCCTCATGTAGGAAAAAAAAAACAACAAACCCTAATCATGGGGAATTTCCAGATCTGGTTAATGTAGAAGATATCTTCCATTTCCTTCACCTCTTTCCTCCTAGTGGACTTGACATTTCTGACAATACTCCCAGGAAATGGAAGCTTTGGAGAAGCTGGTTGTTGGATTCTTTCTCCTGTTACAGTATCACTGTTTATCCACCCAGTCTTAATACAATTTGGGGGGGATCCAAACCAACAGTGTTACCTAGGAATGGCTCAGTACCATCACTTTCTGAGGCAGCCATATAATACAATATTATTCAACAACCACAAGGAGTCTGTCCCACCTGTGAGAATAGTTCCTCTTCCCTGTTCTTATTCCTTCCTTGTTGGAGGAAGGGTTTAACTTCATACCCAGTCCATGTGGGCCAAGACAGAGGGCATCTGGACATTCCTTCCTTTCTACCCCTTCGAGAGCATTGGTAGGAGAATCATTCCAGTACTTACTTTGATTTGAAGAGACATTTCCACTACTTCACCTGAAGATGCCAGAACTCCCTACTACCTTGCTCCCCCAAAGCACCTCCATCAAGCACTGGCTGTACCTGATCCTGGTTTGCAGCTTGCTAGGTTCTGGTGAGCCACCCACATACCTTCAACCCACCTGAAAAATGGTTGAGTGGCAAAACTAAGGGGTGGTTGGAACTCGCAGTGTGCCTCTGCTGGTTTACAGCCACAAAACAAAGTAGCTGAGGATATCATTATTGGTTAAAAAGGCATCTAAAGCACCCAGCACAGCAAATATTCTCTAATAGGAGATTCGTACTGAACCAGCAAGAGAGGTAGTGCAAAGATTCAGCATTACTATTTTTCTGATGCATCAATGTCTCATAAGTTTGCAGCAGATGAATGTCATTCTCAAGCATACTGTTAGGAAAGACTGCTTAAAATTAATTAGCTTAGTAACAATGGCCTGTCATTATGCTACTAAGTCACCAGCATGAGCACATAAGTTACAGTGACAGCTCAGGGTATAAAATAAGTGCCTTTATATTGGAATTTGCAAAGTGCTAGCAGTCAAATGCCAATCTATTCACTTCTTGTAATATTGCATAGTTTGTTCTTAATAGACTGCTCCAAACTCCCACACAAAAGCATGACTTATTTTACTACAGAGAAGTCTTTCTACTTCATACACTGACCGTGCCCAGATTTAGAAAGCTTTTTAAAGTGTATTTATTTGTACAAAGTTGATTCATTCAACATCAAGTTGAATGTGAGATGTAGAACATGACATTTAAAAAGGCTGAAGGTAATGGAAAACAAAAATCCTCTCGAGTGACTTATCAGTAGATGCATGATAAACTGGAAGCAAGGACCGAATTCTGAGGGGTAAGAACATCAGAAGTTCCCACATTCAGCACTTTACAAGATCTCCCCAGTAGAGAAGGAAATAGTTATTGCTATAATTATTTCATAGTTCCAGTCAGCTGCATTCAGTTGTACTGTTATATTCCAATGGCAGGAAAAAGGAATACAGTAAACTATAAATATCTGTCAGAATTCCTTTGAAAGGACAACAGTTAATTGCATAGCTTGATCTCCTGCCATGCAGAGCTTGCATTTCAGGTTAGAAAGGTACAGATTGTTATTGATTTAATTCTCTTGAAACATGTGCAGTATAAAACTGTTCAAAAGACTTATGGGGAAGAAATATATGCTTCCAAAGGAAGTCCTATAGCACAAGATTGTGGCAGGCTTCCTTCTTGTAAAATGCTTTCTGAAATTCAATACAGCCCCTTGCAAAGGCCCTCACAATCCCCTCATAAATTGAGGTTCCTTGCTTCCTTTGCAGAAGTGAAATTAAGTCTGTGAATCAGATGAAGAACAACAAAAGATCAGCAATAGTAGGAAGAGCATGCAAAAAATAGTCCTCTGCATTAAGAATAAATCACTCTTTATTACACACTCACTCTAATAGCGAGCAACACATTTCAACCTCCCCTGTTTTCCTTTCATTTAGCTTCCAGTTCTGCCTTTCCCTTTCAAATCTTTCTGGGATCAAAATAATTCCAGACAATCAAGCCAACATTTTAACTCTTGCATTCTCCTAATATCTTTTAATTCACTTCTGATTTAGCTTGTGCAAAGTTGTTCAGACCACCCAAAGCCGTTAGAACATGTAACTGTGCAGTGATTTGTTAAGCCTTGTCCATTCTGGGAAAAATCTCCCCATTATAACCATTGACAACAGTGAGGCTGAAGCCCTGTTTAACACTTGTCCAGCTCACCTACTTTCCACAAAGGGTAACTTAACCCAGTATAAATTATGTATCATGGTGATTTTGCCAGTCTACAGCTGTGTTTAGACTGCTGCTGGTACACAGGGAGCTGAAATCCCCAGCGCAGAAGCTTTTATTAACAAGTTACATACTAGCAAACTCCTTGCTCCAGATACTGTAATTAAGTTACACATCTTCCTGATGGTTGCTTTAAAGAGACAAAATATCAATACGGAAATACTGCTAACATGTTTTAGCACCTGCTTATCATTAGTAGCTGACCACTTGTTAAGTTACATTTGCACATCCTCCTTTGTTAGGGGGGTTCTGGAAGTTGTAGGTTGTCAGATACATCTTCTGAGCTGGTTTTTGCTAGCTCTCCCCCCAGTTTCCAGGCTTAGAACAGAAAAATATAGTTACAGTCTAAATTTTCAGGTTTCACAAGGGGGGTGGGGTTTGATTTTTTTTGTTTGTTTGGGATTTTTAAGAGTTTTTCTTTCCAACATTAGCTGAATGATAATATACACCAAGAGATTAAAATAAAATGTATAACTTTAACAAACTCAAGAGTAAAATGAACACAACCTACAACACACTTAGAAGCAACTTCCATCCAGGGAAAATTTCCAGTGGTAGCACTTAATAATGCTGATTGAGAAGATTTTAATTTGTATTCACCCCAAAACACCATGTACCAAACAAACAGCATGCTAAGCACCAAAGAAGGTGGCTGTATACCAGCAACATTCTAAAAGCAAGCAGAAGAATCATTAAATAGATTACTGAGCCCAACAGGATTTAGGCATACCTAGTCAAGCAAGACATAATATTAGGTACTGATCATTCTGCTGCAGGGCCTGACAACAGACACAGCAGTTTTCAGACTTCACACATACGAAGGAAGATGCAGCGCATACCCTGCAAGGGGTACAGCCTCCTGAAATCTGACCCATACATATGCAAATCCACAGGCAGAGAACATCAAACTTCATAAGGCTGCAGGCAGGAGTCAGAGCCTGCCCACATGGAACAAGTTCGACAACTAGAACCTGAGGGAGATCAGACAGGCAAAAATACAGGCAACAAGTTAGGTAGGAGAAGGGTGGGGAAAGTTTTACTGAGATGAAGTAGGCAAGAAGGAATCTCGGGGGGAGAAAAAAAAATAGAGATTTAAGATAACAGACAGTAACAGCAGACAGGATGCAAATGGGGAATTCTTCCAACAGATTTCTACCACACAGGATCCCAGAAAGCATTTGTGCTCACCACCACATAGCTGAGGAAGACAGCCTACTGAAGCTATGGGAGAAGAATACTGAGGGCTTGCCCTGTATCTCTAATTCTCCAATCTAAAATGAGACTAAAGATAACAACATCCTGTCCTGAAACAATGTCAGCAGCTAAATAGAGGATATAGGGTCAAGTAAAATTAAGATGCTATTAACTACCACCTTCTCTCACCTATGATATCAGAAAAAAAGTTTCTTTGAACAAAAGAACATCATAGGAACTACCATTCATACTATTATTACTCATAAAACCAAAACACTGCTTTCTGGCTATTATAGATAGACTTGATTTCCTTCTTTTCCTGATTATAATTCCCTTCCCTCTCCTTTGCCCACTTGGAATGTAGAGCCAACTCCTCTTACACACTGGCTCCATCATAGTTGAGGCTGTGAGTTAAAACCAGCTAAACTCCCAACTACCATACCGTGTTCCCTCACCTGCCTGGCAAGAGAGCTAAATAACTGAGAACAGTACCCCTACCCCTCCTTTATGCCTTCACAGGCCAGCAAAATCACCACAATGTCAGCATATGGAAGCGGTTAGTAAACGAGGGGAGGGTCAGATGCAGCCCTCTATGCATTGATTGCAAGCACACACTTTCTCCCAACAGCAGAAAAACCAAAGAAAGGCATACTTGAACCCTTAATGCAGACAGGCTGAAGCTGATTTATTGGGGTGATTTACATCAGTTAAAACAAATTTAATTTTGAATACAATTTTATATCAATTAACAGAGTCTCACAAGTGTAACCATTAAGGAATCTCCTTCCAAAACCAAAGCCAAATATTCAAGATTTATGAGACCAACTTGCCATATTGGAAGTAACTAATTATTCGTAATGATTCTTTGTACTCTGACAGTGATTATGTATTTTCAGTGCAAACGACCATGCTGAAGCAAGTGATAAAGGCAGCCTATGTTTGCGGAAGGGATACCAAGCAGTTAAGGCCTGATCATTATAGCAAATCATTGGGGTAGCAGGGGAGAAACAACAGATACCAGCTCAGCCCAGTGATGCAAAACCCAGCTTATTTAACATCAAGTGTGTTCTGGTGCATGTCAGAACTGTAATGTGGTATCATTTTACAGACTTAATCAATTTTGAAATTGGGTGGGTTTTTTTTTATTCTGACCTTTTGGTTGTCTTTCCACCTTGGACACGATAGTCTTTAATAGAGCAAGGCCTCACAGATTCAGCTTGGAGTGTTTGCAACAGATTGTAAAGTACATTCGGGGTGAGAAGAACAACTACAGGCTTGGAGCCTAATTCTCATTTGCACTGGTTTCTTCACCTTGCTCTGAGAGCAAAAGGCAGGGAAAGTGTAATAGCAGCCCTGCTTCCAGCTCCACAGGATGAAGGAAATGTCGCTGGATTACACTGCTCTGATTAAAGTCCCTGGGAATCTGAAAATGATAGTTAGACAGGGACCAGGTCGATTTTCATATTGCCTCAGGGTACAGAGAATATAAAAGCACCGCCTTTCTCCTCATAACTTCCAGTCCTACCCCAGACACAGGAATAGAGTAATTGAGAACAAAGTCCCCGTTCCAGTGAGGTGTTCCAGTGCCAGCAAGGTTAATATCCAGGGGAAGCTGGTGGTGAGAGCAATGCCATGTTTACTGTTAGGGTAGCTGCTGTTCTGATGCTGTATGCACTCAAGCTGTGAACAAGGCTTTAATTTCTCATCCTCAAAAAACAAAGGCAGAGCAAGTTGGTCATTAAAATCTGCAGCAGCATGGATGTGATTAAAATGTTAATGTCAATATTGTAATCAAGGTCTGACTCGCAGGACAGCTGGTAAGAGACCTGATCTGTATTTCTTAGCCCCGGTCACTTGATGCAGACCAGGGTTACAAAAAAGGTTGTGCCCTGTACGGGGCAGGGATCAGCATCCACTGCCTGGTGTGGTTAGCTGTGGGCTGAGAAGAGGAAATCAGATCAAATACAAGTGCAGTATTGAGAAGTTCAGCTATACCTGCTCTCCTGTAAGAGGAAAGCTTTTCTATGGATCGCCTTAGTATCACCTAAATTGCAGCTCTGTTGCAATGGTCCCCGAGTATCTCCTATGTGCCTTTGGTGCTGCTGTCAGGCTATCTTCCCTCTTTGTCTCTCTGGCCCATCCCTTTGGCTTCATTTGGAATTGTCTGTGCTAGTTTCTACCTAGTTTTATCCATTTAAGCCCATGGTAAATTTTGCCTGGTGGTGTCTAAACGCCACAAGAGCTATAGTCTGCAAAGCTGCTTTTCAATAAATTCAGAATTAATGAAGAAGGCCTCTCTATTGTTGGAATGTCTAATACAATTACAAATTGAATGAAGACCAAGCAGCAGTGGAGGGCTCCCAGGTTTGTGGCAGGGAATTGCCTGTTCTAACATCCATCTGTTTTCATTCCCTCTGATCCATTACCATTCACCTAGAGTTGTAACACGATGAATATCATTGTGCAAAAAGCCATTTGATGCAGGGGAGGGGGAGGAATTCACTGTAGGTCTGCCTTCTATTGAAAACGTGAAATTGCCTTGGTGGAAGGAAAAGCACGATTGATTTGGAGATGCTGTTTCAAATAGAGCTCTTTCACACATGGACAGTTTGATTTTGTTAATTCCTTTGGACGACCCTTCTGCTGAGTCAACAAAAATATACATATATACAAAACCGGGGATAACGATGGATATCACAGAGCTGCTGAAGGTGTGGAGTTAATTGGAAAAGAAATCGTATTCACAACTTTCCCCAGAAGGCACCTTTGGTTTATGTTCGCAGTGACATTAAACTCCAGAATGTAAACATAGGCGGGATTTGAATCTTGATGACCCTGCTGACAGGAAATAAAGAAAAGAACTATACAGGCAATTTCCACTGTCCTTGTTGGTCAGCAAATTTGGAAATGAATGAAAAAAAAAAGAGACCTAGAAATGCATATTAATGATGGCAGACCTAAAGCACAATGGGACTGCAATGAGCCTAAAAATTCCCCAGTTTCTCTTTCTTAATGACTTACTCTTCTGATGCACTTATAAGCAACAGAGAAATTACCTTGTAAATGAAGGAACAGGCTCACAGATGTAAAAACAGATTACTGGACTTGGTGTAAATGCTCTTTTCTATGAAGTGACTCTTCAAGTATTGGTGAAGCAAATACAGTTGTTAATCTCAATTCACTGTTTAACTGGGTGTATCTAAACTCCAGATTTTTCATGAACAACCATGCCCTAGATTTTGGCTATAGCTTTAAAATACCATACATCTAAAAAATGATAGTACTGTCCTTTAGAGAAACAGGAGTAAAACACCCTGTTGGAAACCCACAGTCCAACAAACCCCACAGCAGATAACTGTGACTCCCAACTAGCCTGTAATTACTCAAGGAAGCGGCTAGACTCAGCTATCTTCCCTGTTTAATTGGCACAGAAAAGATTATAGGATTTTATTAGGATACAAATGACACCGATACAAGTGTGATTGAGGCATGCAATGCTTGACTGACTATTTGCATTAAGAGGATTTGTACCACACATGGGATTTCTACCTTTGGTTTTAAATTGCTTAAATTTAAATGACATTTCTATGCTACATTTTGAAAGGATGATACTTTTAGCTCTTGTTTAAGTAAGGTAGGGCAAAGGTGTTACCAGACACCAGCCATCTTTCTAACTGTGCCTGTTGGGACCAGGTGGAAGAAGGCTGATTTTTGACTGCTCTGTTACTGCAGTTAGATCAGGAAGGTAGGAAAAGGGACGAAAGGTAGGCATTGCATTTCTCCCATTAAAGCCTT